AGCTGAAAAAGGAAAACTCTCTAATCCGGAGTATTTTTACAGGAAAAGTGAATGAATATGAAATTGATAATCTCGCCCCATATACGACCTATGAAATATCCGTAGTTGCAGGGAACTACCATGGTTTTAGTGAAGAGACTATTACTAGCTTCTTAACATCTGAAGAAGGTTAGTGTAACATAGCTACTGCCTACCCATAGTGTTATAGTGAAAAATGCACTGGAAAGCTTTTTGAAAATCCATAGAAGGTCATAGAATGGAAATTGTATGGACCTTTATTGGAAATAAAATGGATTTTGGTTATCCATAATAATTGTATATTTCCATAGTATGGATATAGTATGGAAATTGGATGGTTATACTATGGATTTAGTGGTGCAATTGCAAATTTCGTAGTATGGATTTCACTTTTTTCCAGTGTATATGGCTTTTCTTAAAGTGATGTTTCCACGTTTGTTGTAAATATTCCCATGCAATTACGTTTCTAAAGTTGGAATATTTGGCGTGGATCTTGCAAAGCTGATTTGGACTAAGCTCACTGAACTGAACTAGTAATCGAAGTACTGAACATACAGTAAATTTGTAATTTGTAGTGTTTTGTATAGGTAATAGCATGGTTTCGAGTGCAATTTGGATATAACGTGCACGAGTGAGTTTTTCAAAGACCTCAAAATAGCACGAGTCCGAAGGACGAGTGCTACTTGACATCTTTGAAAAACTCACGAGTGCATGTTTATCCAAATTTCACGATAAACTATGCTATTACTTATTAATAATTTACATAAAAGTGTTCGAGACAATTGTAGTTTTAACTTGCGTGTTTATAGCGAACATTCCACTGGCAAAGTTTTCCTGGCTTTGTTATATCACATTATACAACGCTAACAGCTTGAAAATTTCACTTAAAGGGGCAGTATCATCAAAATTTTTATTCTCTTAAACCAAAGCTTAAACGAAAGTGCTCGTAAAACTGTATAATAACTTGTTTTGAAGATTTTGGTTTCCATGCTTAGTTTGTAACCATGTGACGTCATCAACTCAATTACATATATAATGAGATATCAGTAATTGTTGTGTATCTTTGCTATTTTTATCAAAATATTTCGAAAGATGCCGCGCGTTTGTTAATTTAACCTGCATCATTATAAGCATACTGTGTTTTTTAACAAATCGATCAAAAATAGCAAAGATACACAACAATTACTGATATCTCATTATATATGTAATTGAGTAGATGACGTCACATGGTTACAAACAAAAGAAATATCTCAAGCATGGAAACCAAAATCTTCAAAACAAGTTATTGTACAGTTTTACGAGCACTTTCGTTTAAGCTTTGGTTCAAGAGAATAAAAATTTTGATGATACTGCCCCTTTAAGATAAAATAATGCTTTTCCATTTAAAAATAAAATAAAAGCCATATTTTCCACGCGATGACGACTTTTACTTTGTGTAGGGGCGCCATGTTTGATTTGTTTTGAAGTAATCTGTGACCGTTACTTCTTTAAAACTAAATTGCTTTAAACTGATTGGTTGATTTAATCATTACAATGTTTTTCATGCACCATTTTCATGTGCATTTTCGCACTGTGATTACAGAAAATTGCACTGTGATTACAAAAAATTGCACTGTGATCACAGAAAATTGCACTATGATTACAGAAAATTGCAAAATCCACTAGGCATTGTTATTACTAAATAGTTTCGTACCACAAGATGTGGCACTCTATTTAGGTCAATTTATCTGAAGAGTGCCACATCTTGTGGTACAAAACTATATTTAGTAATAAAGATGCCTAGAGGATTTTGTTGATTGCATGTTGTACTTAATTTAAGTATGCTCTGGTTTTCCATTGAGCACTTTACCAAAAGTGCACTGGAAACGTTGCCTGCAGCAAAAAATGCAGAAATTAAACATAAGTAGAAACCTAAGTGCTTACTTAGGTTTCTAAGGATTATCTAAAACGAGAAGATATTTCGTAAATGTTTTAGATACAACCTAGCCAATGTTTACCGTCTTTTCTCTAGCTACTCCGCTTTAATATGATAGGCGTAATAACCCACCCCCTCGCATTCACGACAAAACATTTTGAAACTCTGTTTCGAGTGCTTTTATCAGTAAGAGTAAATGTATAAAATAGTCGAAACGTCATTCCTCACACACTCGATCAAAATCTACTTTTAATATTTAAACGAAACCTTTCATTTTATACACACTTTAGCTCCAAGTGGTCCTCCTTTAAACATCAAAACCACATCAAGAAGTGCATCATCATTGTCATTTATTTGGGATCCTCCTGAGAAAACTAAACAAAATGGCGTCATTATCAGCTACACAGCGTGTGTTTCACACTCGATAATTGGCCAATGCTTCCAGACATTTATTACCAGAAAAAAAGAGTGGCTTGTTGGAAATTGCAATGCATCAACAAAATATTATGTTCGTGTTCTTGCAAACACTAAAGTTGGCCATGGAAACTTCAGTGAAAGTAAAGGGTTTTTTACGAACGGAAGTGAGTTACATGATATATTTATCAATATTATGTTTGCGATGCTGATGAAAATCAGTTCTGTTCAGAATTTCTCATTTGGTATTTAACTCAATATTTTATGCCCTGTGATTCGTTTAATACCGCTCACTGTTTTAGTTGCGGTTATATAATGACAAGTGTATAGCTTGGTAATGGATAGTCGATACTTATCATTTATAGACCCGGAGCGAGGGGGATTCGGCGTAATATTTTCCGAAGTGATGATATTTTCCGAGGGGCTTTGCCCCGAGGAAAATATCATCACTGAGGGAAATATCGCCGAATCCCCCGAGCGGAGGGTCTATAAATGATATATTATACCGAAAGTTAAAGAACTCACTAAGAGTCTATCAAGTTCAGAATAAACTTTAAAACTTGCTGAATATTAATAACTACGCGAATACAATTTTTAATTTCTTATCTATACCTGAGTTTTTGACGTTTTCTCCTTAAAATATTTGAGCAAGTATCCTTTGGATCGTTGAAAGTAACATACGTGTTGAAATATTTGGTTTACTTAATATTAAAATCTTCTGTAGTTCTGTACGAGCTCGCGAACGCCATATTGTTTCAGAATTCAGAGCGTGGTGTCCACGCGTCGCGCGTGAGCGTGGGATACTATAATATCCCACGGTGGATCTGCCGTGGGATATTATAGTATCCCACGCTGGATTGCGAAATCATGAATTTGAGTGAAATACCGTAAAAAATCACACTACCACGTGGTACAAATGCTGTTTTTTCATTGGACAATTTGAATTTGAGGTATAATATTATTTAATAATTCATGAAGAATATCCAAAAGGAAAGAATGTTTAATTAATCAGTATCTGTAAATTGGTTAATAATATTTGTTGGTTAAGAGCTGTGTCTTGATTGTACATTAACGCCAAATCTTAGCAAATTAGCAAAATGTAACAAACATTTTCCAAATTTTCCATAAACATCTTACGGAAAGCTTAGCCCACAAAACGGAAAGGAAATTTCAGCCTTGCGCCAAACTCCTGCTTTGGCTAAAATGACTTGGTCACGACAGCTGCAATCAAATCAGTCCATGCATTAATTAGTCAATTTGCAAAATTAGCCTACTGCATGGGTATTTACACGCATAGTCCGCTCGACTGACTTCATTCTTTGATTTCTTTTGAACTTTATCCCGTTTTACAGTTACGTAATGTGTGACGTTTCTGCCGGCTTTCAAAAGGGTACCCGGACATTTTGCCGAAAGACACTTTGCCGAAAGACATTTTGCCGAAAGACATTTTGCCGAACGGACATTTTGCCGACGGACGTTTTGCCGAACGGACGTTTTGCCGAACGGACGTTTTGCCGAACGGACGTTTTGCCGAACGGACATTTTGCCGAACTGAGGACAACTTGCCGAAAATAGAGATGTTCTTTCGTCAAAATGTTTGGGACTGTGCCTCATTTCTCAACTTTGAAATTCTCAACCATTGGCATTGTGTAAAGTAAACATTATATGGTATTAGCAATGCATAATGGGTCATTAGCAGTGCATAATTTGTCGTTAGCAGTGCATAATCATATTGCGTAAGCAAATTGAAAGAATATAAACCAAAACTATACTTCGCTATCTAAGTTTCTGTCATCAAAATCGACAATGAATTTAATCACAGAAACCAAAACCTTGTAAGTGAACCTTTAAAGTTCAGTCGTCCGTCCGTTCGTCAAACTGTCCTTTCGGCAAAATGTCCGTTCGGCAAAACGTCCGTTCGGCAGAACGTCCGTCGGCAAAATGTCCGTTCGGCAAAATGTCTTTCGGCAAAATATCTCTCGGCAAAATGTCTTTCGGCAAAGTGTCTTTCGGCAAAATGTCCGGCCACCTTCAAAAGAGTGAAATCGAGGAAATGCGTGTGTGATGCGAAAACGGTGACGTTGTGTATGGACAGTGATATTATTCCACGTTTCGACTACATTTTAGTCATGATTAAGAATAATAAAATTACTACGTATTATAGGTATGGAAGGACTATATAAGGCCGTTAGCACCTGTTGAAAAGCAAATAAGATAATATATATACATGCTATACGTAATAGGCTTGGACATTTGCTGTAGGGTTGGTTAATTCCACTACATTTTTTTTATATAATCAAATTATTCACATGATGAAATATTTATAAATTTCAGAACTGTCGCTTGTTGAGTATTCGTTTACCCTATATTGTAAGCGGTTCCCACAATTTCTCGTACATATAATGCAATGTTTCAGTAATACTGCGTGCAAATGGTTTAACAAATTGCATGTGAACCTGAGACAACTGAAATTATTGATTGTTTTTAACCAATTTTGTTTTACAGTGCCGGAACATTGTGACAACGCGAAAACAAAACTACATCATCGCTCACTTTTGAAAAACGTAAAATACACACAGCCCTAGATTTAATAATGAGTTCTACATTTTAATACATCCATATCTTTTTACAGGAGCAATAGAGAAGGCCAGAGCTAAAACATCGAGTACACTTACATTTTTACTAGAAATTCCGTCAGCAGCGTTTCTGTAAGTATATTTGACTTTCTGATATACCCTCGCAGATAACAAGCGGGGGGGGGGGGGGGTATTTCCTACCAATCACAACATTCGTATTCATTTTCTCTCTGGACCAATCAGATTGCGTGAATTCTAGATCACTGACATATACTTGTTCTGTTTCTCCAAAAAGAATACCTTGTCATGCAAATATTACATTACTAGCTTAGGCTGCCTCATTTTGAAGCAAAGTACAATTAAACTTAGTATATCAAGCAAGCAATTTAAGGCAATGCAGTTTTGGTGCCAGTTTCATATAGCACCCATAGATAATTAACGGTAATTATGTTACAATTGTATGGTTTGTAACTCGGCAGCAAAGTAACGAAGTAACTTTGTTGGTCATGAAATCATGCACCCATAATTTATCAAATTCTCGTTATATACATTTCTTAAACATCTGGTATCTAATTGGAATTTATTATCACGGAGAGAATTCCAAACTATTGAAATATCATCCAATTCTTGACTATCTTGTTACCTTGTGTGGAGATAAAGAATATTATTCAACAGTCATATTTTGTTATGGAAAAATACGTGTTATTAAGTGAGTATATTTCGGGAACTTCGTATTAGAAGTACTATAGAAGTGTTCATTGGTTTCGCCCATATAGGCTAGATTTACTTATAAACAAAGTAAAGCTATAGTGGTCGACTAGAAACCTATATATAAAATAATTTTGAATTAAGACCCCTAGTGTAATTTCCCAACTAAAATATCAAGGTTGGCATTTCTTTTCTTCTATAACATTTTAACTTAGTCTATATATTAAATACCCATGCCGCAATTTAGGCTAAGTAATTATTTGGAAGCTTAGTGCAAGATTTGTCCGTTTTGGAAGCCACATGTCAATGCAATCAATTTCATGCAAAATTAAATGGTATTCCAAAAGTCTCAGTGGCAGATTTAAAAAAATATTTTTCCCTTTTGAAATACACAACATTTCCAGCAGCAATTAATACGAATTCATTCAATCTGATTCGTCCATGGCTCATTATAGATGAAAATGTAAACAAATGTATATAATGATTGGTTAGTGGAAAACAATTTCCCTATTCTCCCGTAGATAAATATTTTGTATGTTTCGTTATTAAGAAGGCAATTGCAAATGTTTATTTATATAGATATTTGTACGTGGTGGCTTTGAAATTAGAAGATAGCATAGAGCCTCCGGCTTCATCTGACAGTTACGAGAACAATTATTTGGTGACATACGCTGAGGCAAAAAATTTGACAAAGACGAAACCTTATATTGCTGCAGTAGTTACATCCAGTGATGTTGATAGAAGCATTTTTATACTTGGTGATGGCAGTAATACAAATGAACGAACTTCAAGACTTGGATCAACTGCGAGGGATTATTTTAATGGTCCGTTGGAGCCTGCCACCAATTATATTATTTTGGGATAATTTACAAAGGATAATTATTACAAAGGATAATTATTAATGAAAAGGTATATAAATCATCCATTTAACGCATTTATTTCAATTCTTGGACTGCAAAGCTGCAAAGTCCAAATGATTTAATACCTGAATCTGGTTATTACGTGCGGCCCGGATGGGGTGGGGGTTATGATCTTGTGGGTTATGATCATATGGTAAACCGTGCTAGTTAGCAACTGCATGTGAGACTGTTATGTTGCCCATCTATACAAATTGAGACCACGGCAGCCATATTGGTGTGTGAAACAACCACACATTTTTCTCTGGTAGTGTTGATATATTATAAGATGACAAAAAAAAAACAAAAGTTTCCAGCATATTTCACTCAACTGGTTGTGACGACAATCATCAGCAATATTTTTGTCAGCATGAGTATTTTTGACGTTTTTCGACAATATTTTTGATGGCACGATATTTTTGCCCTTTCTTTCATGATAGATAACAGATAAATACTAACTTTATCGCTTTCTTTACCATAGGATGATTACTACTCAGCAGACTGGAGTCCATCTTCAAAAACAAGTGCATATACAGGTATATATCTTCCATGCAATTAGATGTTCATAACTGGATTAAATAGTACACCAACTGGTACTGCAACGATGTATATAAAGTTAGTCTTGATAAAATTCTTAGATAATTCAAGAAAAGTCAGATCAGAGAATAATTTTTTTTTTGAAGACTTTCCATAAATTGCATATACCAGCCTTAATGTTTCGTCGTACCTTTGGTCAAGGTCAACCTTGGACTATTTTAATTGTGAAGACCTGTTCATATATGAGCCACAATGGCCCGGTAAACCAGGCTGACTCGCAAGTGGCGAGATTATGCCTTGTATATTTTTATGCGTTTTTGAGATTTGTTTCACTAAGAATCAACCTAGTTAACCGGTCTCCAGTTTGAGAGAGGCGAGATCTCGCCTTCCCGGGTTGATATATATGTATGAATACACTTAGCGGGCCAGCCTGGAAAACCGGGCTATATAGGTATTGTATCACAACGCATGCTTTATTCCACTTAGAAAGCATTTAAAAATTCAAAACAATTAGTGAGATATAACTTTTGAAGCACTTTCCGTCAATGATATGCATTTTTTCAAAATTAAAACAAATATCGCGTTCCCGCAAAAGGTTGCGCGGGAATTGAACAGGCCCTAAATCATGTAGAAAATTCCTTAAAACTTACAATTCCGTAAAACTTACAATCGCCCCCCTCCCCCAGAAAGCATCATTTCCCGATGGGAGACAGCCCTCAAAATCCATTTATCAAGCCACCGTCGAAATGCATGGGGGGAAAGCAGGATAATTTTAAACGGTTGCAAAAATCATCATTTTGACTGTAATACGTACTGCATGCGTACTGCAACGTGATACCTGGGCCATTTACAGTAATAATACAGTAATTGTTTAAATTACAATGCCTTGAAATATTCCTAAACTATGGAAACTAACTGTAATTATGAAAAAATCTTAAGAAGTGAGATTCTTGAATTCTACTAAGAGATCCAAAACCGTGAATATAACAAAACAAAATGTTTAGCGTTTTTTGCAGGCTGTTCTGGTTTTGTAATTCCTGGATGGATTAAGATTCACGACCAAACGTTTCGACACTCCATTCCTTGCATTTTCATAATCTATGAACTTTGAGTGAATCCCATACCTACTTTTAATATAGGTTATATTCAATTCTCTTTCATAATCACGTTAGGTCCGAGAGGTCCTCCATTGAACATCAAAATCACATCAAGAAGTACAGTAGTTGTGGGGGAGATTGTCGGCCGTCGGCCGAGCAGTTGTATAGTTAATTAAAAAGGTCGCTGCGCTCAGTGACTTTTAAGAAATTCTCACAATGTGGCCCTGTGGGGAAGGGATGGGAGGCAAAGACAGTCGTGCGAGTGTGAACCATTAAAAATTTTAAATAGGCCATTTGATGCCATTTTGCAGTGTGACTGTGGGGAAATCCGACTACAGATAAAAAAATTGCACCTTCGCTTGCTAGCTAGTTTGTTTGAAAATTACATTCTGATTCTTTAGTTAATTTAAACGCAGAATAGCGAGCAATCACACGTAAATCCTTTTATTAACAATACATGGTATGTTTCTTAATCAAAAAGTTTCAGGCACCAACGAAAATGATGATGGTTCTGTTAAAAGTCTTGCTGCAATTGTGGTATTAGTAACATCGCTGGTCATTTTATTTGTTGTTGTTGCTTATTTGGTTTATCAAATTTGTCGACTCAAATCATCAAGCACTAAGGCAAACGTGGAGGAAATAAATGACGGAAATAATTCACAAGATAATCGGCACATACACAGGGATAATGATTCTGCCAGCATTTATGAACAAGTTGACAATGACCAGTCGGCCGATATAGCTCTCAAAAGGCTTGGAGAGGGAGAGAGTGATGTTCATGTATATAGTCAGCTAAATGAAGTACAACATGACTACATAAATCACATGGAAACTGGAATTTGATGTTTTATTTTTGCATAGTAAATCAACATATGGTCTAGAAACACTGAACATTTTATGTCTTTAATGATAAATTAGGGTTTATGTTCAGACGACATCAGTATGTGAAAATATTTTTAAATGTATGTCAATATAATTTCTCGCCGACCAATCATGCAGATGTTGGCATTCGTGCGATGTCGACTTTACAAGATTAGAGATTTGGTCTCATTCCTGAATGTTTTAAAGGCCCTGTCATACTATTGCGTATGAGAGAAACGTATGAGAAGCGGATGAAAATTAATGAAATAATTTTCATACGCACAAAAATCCTTTGAAATGCCAGCGTATAAGTACCGCACATGCATCTGGCGTATCTCTAGCGTATTCAGCGTGTGCCTAGAGTATGCTTATCGTATAAAGCATACTTACGAATACGCACAAAATTTTTGAGTATGCTTAAAAAAACTAACGTACCTCTTGCGTATGTCAGCGTATACCAGCGTATGAGTGATATTTTTCATACGCTGGCATACGCTAGTACGATACGCAATAGATGTGACAGGGCCTTAACACAAAAAAAAAACATTTCACTCTTTTCTATTAAGGAGAGGGGTCTGCGGTTTTAGTACTAATTCATTTGTCTTCACCATGCACAAATTTTCACAAAAAAGAACGAAAAGATAGAGCAAAGCTTTATACATAAACTTTATCCGAGTTTTTACATCTTATCTTGATTTACTATGATTTACGATTTTGCATTGTACGGTCAGCAATGCTTTGGAATGTGGATGGGATGAAATTTATATTTTCGTCTATTAGTATAAAATACAATAAATAAATTTAGTGGACGTAATTGACACTTATAAGTAATTAAATATTTTAATTAATGATTGGGAATAACTAAGGACCTTGGGCAATATACAGTATAACGGTTAGTAGTACAGACATCGCGTTCACTTGATCTCGAGTCATTTGGATGTATGCAGGTTATAAGGTGTTCTGTAGGGGTTATATAGTTGATTACACGCAAGTGCAAATGAATAAAAAGCAATTATATAGAGTGTGTATATAATTTGTTACCATTAATGATGTGTGCATGTTCGACATATAATAATCGTTGTTGTTAGGGTATAATTGCTCAAAGAGATTGACGTGAGGAAATTTGTCAAGATAGTTCAAAATTTTAAACTCAAAGTTCGCTTTAGTGTAAGGTGAATGTTATAGAGTTAAGATTGGAGCTAAGTAGTGATACCCCCCCCCCCCCATAAGGAGACCAAAGGGATGCCGCCAATGACGTCACGTTGCTCCGAAAGTAATTAGTATTTAAAATCTATGATGTCACTTTGCTCAGCTAACACTCTGGCGGAATTTATAATGAGGTTGCAAAATCTATAAAGGTCCAGTTACACGTGCGATTTGTCTCTCGTGCCGGCAACGCAACGACTTTGCAACGGGTTAAATTTCTTTGCGTTACTCGCGCGAGTGAAGTGGTGACACGAGCAATGATAGCTTCGCCGCGTCGCAACTATTTGCATGAAAAAAACCGGCACTAGTGTTTCGCAATTCGCAAATGTCACTGACAAGAAGATGACGAGGTGGTTAAAGAAAAGAAACGTATTTGGAGCCGGGACTGGCTTCTAGAGAGAAAAAACAAAGGTTATTTCGGTCAGCTTCTTCCCGATCTGGCTGCCCACGACACACCAGGATTTGAAAAATTTATGCGAATGGATTTTGATTATTTCAAAAACATAGTTGATAATCTATCTGAAAAGCTTTACAAGAAAGACATAATAATGCGTGAATCAATCAAGCCAGCAGAAATGTGTTGTTTAACGCTTCAATATTTGGCAGCGCTACAGCACGCTGTCCGTACAGAAGCGAATTTCATTGGCTATCTTAAAATAGCCCATGCGTTTCCTGCTCAAACAATGCCTGGGTAATTCGATATTTTCGGCAATCGTTGCCGAAAGTTCAAG